GATTGGCAGATACAAACTACTATATATAAAATAGATAAACAACAAGGTCCTACTGTATAGTTCAGGGAACTATATTCAATATCTTGTAATAACCTGTAATGAAAAAGAATGTACATATATATAACTGAATCACTATGCTGTACACAAGAAACTAACACATTTTAAATTAACTATACTTCCAAAAACTCAGGTGATAAACTTATCCATGAACTAAACATAGAAGTCTGAGAGTGACTCCACCACTAAAACTTTGAGTCATATATCAGTTAGCTTTTGCTGCATAGTAACAATTCCAAAACTTACTGGTTTTCCCAAAAAACATATTATTTCCCATGGTTCTGTGGGTCATCTGAGAAACTCTTCTAGCTGAGCCAGCTTAGCTAGGACTGGATACCTCAGGGTGATCTCACTCGCATGTCTACTGTTAGCAGAGGTAACAACCTCAGGTTTCTCATCAGGAGAGCCTGGACTCATTCAAAGAGTGAAGTTTCCTGCAGTGAGAGAGGGCAAGCCCTAATGCACAAGCACTTTTCAATTCTCTATTTATACCACATTTGCTAACGTCCCAGTGGCTGAAACAAGTCATGTGGCCAAGCACAGATTCAAGGAGTGGAGAAATTAATTTTACCTCTTGATGAGAGTGTTGCAAATACACATTCCAAAGCGGTTACTTTCAAGGGTGCAATGAATTACTGCGGCCGTTTTTGCCGTTTTGTGATATTTTTCTCAGTCAAGTCATAAGAAAAGAAACTAGGGAGATCCTAGGGATGTAAGATTGCTGGATTTATTCAAGAAAGAGTGGGTCAAGAGGTGGCATCTGGGAGAAGCCATTTCAAGGGTGAGAGCAACTGGTCTAGCCTGACCAAGATGGCAATCTTTAAAAGCTCCAAAACTTTGTGACTGATTCCACTGGGGGAATGGTCGTCTTCTACTTTACACCTTCTGCTTCAAAACTATTCCTTACTCAATAATTCCCCAGCCCAGTAAATGGCAGTACCATCATCCAGTTGGTTCAAGTCAAAAAACAAGAAGAATCATCCTGGTTTCCTGTTTTTCCCTTCTCCCCATATCCTAATCATTAGCAAGGTGTGTTGGTTTTATCCATCAACAGTTTATTTCTAACTTCCACCCACTCATTTCCATCTTCACTGTCATTACCATCATCTGTTTCTTCTTCATCTTTCACCTGGACTTTTACTGTAGTCTCTTAATTGGTCCCCATTTCCTCACTTGTTCCCTCTACAAATAAGTATCCAAACAATACTGTGGTCCCTTATAAAAATAAATCAGGAGATGGCACAGCTCTCTACCTAAAACCTTTGATGGCCTCCCACTGCACTTAGGATAAAATCCAAAACTCGTTACTGTCACCTAGAAGGCTCTTCATAATCTAGACCCTGCTTGCCTCCTAATCTCAATTCATACAACTCGCTTCTTTATCAACGATATTCAGGCCACACTGGTCTCTCTTTTTTCTTTTCTAAACACACGTATCTCAGGCTGAATGTCAACTCCTCAAAGGTGTCTTTCCTGACATCTATATCAAACAGCTCCCAACCAACCCTCTGCCATCCCTAGATTACTCTCATTCATTTATCCATTGCTTTTCTTATCTTTTTCTTATTTTTTAAATTTTTGGATATAAGCTTTTTTTATTGATTTATAATCATTGTACAATGTTGTGTCAAATTCCAGTGTAGAGCACAATTTTTCAGTTATACATGAACATATATATATTCATTGTCACATTTTTTTCTCTGTGAGGTACCATAAGAGCTTGTTATATTTCCCTGTGCTATACAGTATAATCTTGTTTATCTATTCTACAATTTTGAAACCTCGTCTATCCCTTTCCACCCCCTGCCCCCTTGGCAACCACAAGTTTGTATTCTATGCCTATGAGTCTGTTTCTGTTTTGTATTTATGCGTTGTTTGTTTTTGTTTTGTTTTGTTTTTAGATTCCACATATGAGCGATCTCAACTTACCGTATGACCCAGGAATCCCACTCCTGGGCATATATCCAGAAGGAACCCTACTTCAGGATGACACCTGCACCCCAGTGTTCATAGCAGCACTATTTACAATAGCCAAGACTATTTACATGGAGACAGCCCAAATGTCCATCAACGGATGACTGGATAAAGAAGAAGTGGTATATTTATACAATGGAATACTACTCAGCCATAAAAACCGACAACATAATGCCATTTGCAGCAACATGGGATGCTCCTGGAGAATGTCATTCTAAGTGAAGTAAGCCAGAAAGAGATGGATATAAGCTTTTTTAATGTCAGGTTTATTGAGGTATAATTTATATCGAATAAAATGCACACTTTTTAGTGTTCAGCTATGAGTCTTGTCAAATACATACAAATGTGTAACCACTATCACAACTGAGTATGTGACATTCTAGAAAAGGCAAAACTATAGGGGCACAAAACAAATCAGTGGTGTCAGGGGCTGGGGTGTAGAGGCAGATGAGCCTGAAGGGTCATGAGGCAATCCATCCACCTCTTTTCTTCCTAGGTTTTATCAAATTCCATAATAATCTGGTTTATTTCTTTCTTTACTTATTAATTATTGCCTTCCTCAAAAGGCACATCCCAGGAGGGCAGGAACCTTGTCTGTCTTATTCACTTCTCCGTCTCCAGAAACCAACATGGTGCCAGTCACTAAATAGGTGCTCAACTATCCTTTTTGTAGTGGACACATTCACTCTCTTTAACTTGACCCTCTCCCTCAGTCCTCATCTGTAACCCATAAGCACATATTATGGGTGGTACCTCTTAAATATCTCTTAGTTCTCTCCTTTCCTCCAACTTCACTGCCATGTTTCTGCTCTTACTGTTTTTCACTTTGATGTGATAATCTCAAAAGTGGCATCCCTGTTAGCAATATTGCCCCCGGAGTCACTGTTTCAGACTGCTGCTAGGTACAGTTGAATTACATCAATTCCTTGCTTAAAAAAAAAAAAAAAGTGGTACTCCCATTGCCTAACAACCAATCCAAACTAGCCTGGCTCTTCTTGGTTCCACGTGTTTAACCCTAATCATCCTCTCCTCCTTGCTACTGATGGGGCTCCACTCCCATCCAGACATGACTCCCAAAGCCAAAATGCTGCTTCTTCTCTATCCTACCTACTGCCAGGGGAGCCCCTTATCTCTGGAGAGTCCCTACTGCCTTCACGTCCCCACACACTAGTGCCCCCTCAATCCTAGCATGCCTTAGGGCTATGTGCCCCCAAATGTAAGATGCATAGCCACATAACAAGGCATTTAGAGCTATCAGAGCAATCCACATATAATAAACCATCACACTTTTCAAAGTTATCCTCTCAACTCTCAAGATCTTGATATACTGAATCCTGAAGCCATACGTTCTCCAGATACTGATAGCAGCAATTATTTTCTCTGTCCCCTCATAGAAGTTTGAAAAGAATTAAGAGGTTGGCATTTACTTTTATTTTATTACATCAGTTGGCTGGATCTAACCCTAAATTCCTCTTTTTCTATGAAACTGACAAAAGTAGACTGGGTCAAAATTTTTAACAATTTTAATAGGTGCCATCAAAGGTCCAAAATATCAAATCTTCATTATTTCATTGGCTCTTTTTGAGGCGTCATTCATATCCATTAAAAGAAACTGACTAAATAAATAAAGATATATCCATGAGATATATTACTATGAAGTTGTAAGAAATGAATGAGGAAGCTCTCTATCCACTGCTACAGTCAGAGCTCCAAGTTATGGTGTTAAGTGAGAACAGCAAAGTGTGAATGTTTCTGCTCCCCTGCACACTTATATTTGCCCCTATACACACTTTTACTTGCTTAGAGAAAATGGGGAAGGATTCCCAAGAAGCCAGAAAATGTGCATTCCTGTGGGGAGAAGGGGAATGAGACAGAGTAGAACAGAAGTGGGAACAAGACTTCCCATTGTATACCTCTTTATGTTTTAGGGCATGGAACCATGCGAATGTCAATTTCTGTAAAGAACAAAGAGTTTGAGTAGGTACCACAATGTGGTTCTCATAAAGCTCCATTAAAATTGCATTACTCCAGGTCTTTGAAACTATCATAAATTCAACAAAAACTTTTAAGGGCACTGATATCTACACATATGCAACAAACTTTACTTATTTACAAATACAAGTTAGTAAATAACTACATTCTAAAATAATACATCATCCAAAAAAAGTATAGCCATTATCTGCTTTATCAATGGTCCTAAATATTTTCTCCTAGGCAGAAAATTAGACATAAATTCATTAACCCTTTCAGGTCAGGGAAATGGTCCAAGGTTGTCGTAATAGTCTATGGTGCCAGCATTTTATAAAATATAACTAACACTACCACACATTATTTTGGCTTGACACGAAATGTTACTTTTTGCTTGCCCTATATCAATTTATTTTGGGAAACCATCCCCCCTGTTCTCTCCTGCCACACACACACACACACAGAAATATTTGTATAATTTAAATGCAGCTGTTAGGGTGAAATACAGGAGTAGTGAAAGTCGACTGCTCCCTTCTCCAAGATCCTGATTGTTTCAGGAATGAATGTAAGACTCAAGTTTAGCCAATCCTAGTAACTGGATAGAAGGTGGGGGCTGTTACAAATGCAGAGAGAGCGGTTTGGGTTTTTTTGTTTGTTTGTTTTTTTACTTTTGAGATTACAAGGTCTAAGAATCATATAGCTCTCAGAACCCATTATTGCTATCTATTCTGAAAATAAACCCCAAATGAGAATTAAGTCAACATGGAGATTTTAAAAAGGAAGAAAGAAAAGAATGATAATGTTGGTGAACCTTGATCCAGCCATGTTTTGAGCCAGTCCACCCCTTAGATTTACCAACTTCATAAACCAATGAATTCTCTTTTGCTGCTATTTTGAAACCCAATTTAAGTGTTCTTTTAAAAGGTATTTATGCTTGGTACCCATTCATATTCCAGAGTTTCCTTAGAAACTCTGGTCTTTCTTGGTATTATTTTTTTATTTACCTGGAAAATGCAGGGAATGTAGATGGCTAAGTTTAAGAGATTCAGAGAAATTCTTCATGTGAGCAGCGAATCCGGAGCAGGGCAAGGCAGTTCTTTCATGATGAGGGCCGGGCTATAAGGTAGAGGGGGAAAATACACAAAATGAGGTCTATGACTCTAAAAATAACCCATGCCACCTGCCATTCTTACTTCCCTAAATGAGTGAGATTTTTAGTTTCTTTTTTCTTCTTCTTTATTCTTTAAATGAAATAAGCCTGAAAACAACTGATATTATAGACACCAGATGGACAAACCTTGAAGGTAATGGTTCAGAGCAGGGGCTGGAGAATCATGAAGACCTGGTGGAAATCTCACCTCCACTCCTCTCTATCTGAGGGAACCAAGGACAACCTACCCTCTCTATTCCTCAGTTTCCATTGCAAAATGGGACTAATGCTACCTCCCTACAACCATAATCCCCATTTTACTGATGAAACATTAACTTACCAGGACAGTATAAGTAGTCAGTGCTAGAAGCAGGTCTCAGATTCACTTTCCTACTTCTTAACCCTGCACCATATTGTTCCCTAAGTGTCAGCATACCCAGCACTCCATTCAAACCAGAACCTGGAAGGTCACCCTGGTCTCATCCTACTCCCTCATCCCTAGATCCACTCATGACTGAGTTCTGTCAACCCCACCCTTTCAATGTCCTCCAGACCCATTCCCTCCTCTAGAGTCCTTTTGTCTTAGCTTCTCCACCCGTCCCCTGCCTCCAGTTCACCTCAATGGAATTCTCTTTCTAAAACCCATCATAATAAATATAATCATAAACATGGCACTCTCTTAATAGTGTTCAGTGGCTTCCCATCATGTAATTGCTGGTTCTCAAACTTTATTGTGCATAAAAATCACCTGGAGAACAGGCTAAAATGCATATTTTGATTCAAAAAGCTGGAAGCGGGTTCAGGAATGGGCATGATTAACAACCATCACAGGTGACTGTGATGTAATCAGTAATCAGTAGATTCTTGTCACTCAAAACCTGCCCACGGACCAGTGTCCTTAATATCACATGGCAGCTTGTTAGACAGTCTCTGGCTGGTCCTAAACAGACCTACTGAGTCAAGACCTGAATTTTAACAAAATTCCCAGCTAATTCATATGTATGTTAAAGACACAGACCTCATTTTGATCTCAAGAATAAAATAGAAAATCTTTTCCATGGTATAGGACGCTGGTCATAACTCATCATCTATTTATCCCTTTCCCCCTGATCTCTCTCTGTGATCTAAGTTTGACAAACTAAGGAAATTGAGGTACCAAAAAGCTCAAGAGACAACCCCTGTCTTCTCCATCTTGGTCATCCTAGAGCCTTGCACAGTCCCTACCACATAAGACAGGCTGCTTTATTGACACATATTGAATCAAACTGAATGGGATCAAGGTATATTTTAAAACACAGGTTTTTGAAATACAATATGACATTCTTGTTGTAGCTTTCATCCAGGGACATTAGAATTGGGATGAAAAAGAACGCATGGAGAAAAGACTGTCTATGTCAGGAGCCACATTTTATTTCTTCAAACATGGAACATGTCCTCCAGGGAGGTGGGTATTTAGTCCTGCCTGTGAGTCCTTACTGTTCTCAGTTGATTAACTGCCTAAAGTCAAACCCATGTTCTCAAAATTAAAGCAAAACCCCCACCTTATTTTTGGTTTTGTTTAAGAAGAGCAAACTTTTGCCACAAAGATACAAGAACAGTAAATATTGATCTTCTTGACGGATGGTGTACCTCATGCCACAGGCCATTCAAGCATCTGCTCATTACCACCCAGCCCTCCCCTTTGTGGGGAAATAATGCCAAGTGGCCTCCTGTGCTATCGACTGCAGATCGCAAATATTTAAAAGAAATAAATTTCTCTGAGTGAAAGCACCTTTCTTTGTTCTCCAACCCCCTTTCCTCCCAAGTCATGTTGATTTTGGGGCTGTGCACACTGCCAGCACCTGTACTTTCAATTGTTTGCTTGCCAAGATAGCTGTGGTTTTCTTGCTTGGTTTTAGGGACCCATTATAAGTACAGTAGCCAATGAAGGTGTGTTTTCTTTCTCTCTTGGCAATCTGTAAGGGAAGCATCAGCTTCAGGACACCTAGCAGCAACAGTAATTAGAGGGCACAGGAAGAGAGGAACAGAAATTGGAACTCCTCTATCTGAGTACTTGTCCCCTAAGATGATGAAAAGTGGACCACTGCCACAGACCAAAAAGAAAGGTTTGGATTTTCTCAACAGCCTTATTATCTGGTAGAAAGTTTTAAACTTGGTTTTGCTGCATTCATTGAGCATGATGACTTGCAATAAGAAATAAGAACGGGATTTCAGCAAGCAGAAATTTGAATTGTGATCGAGAATTGGCCACTCAGAATATTACTCCAAGGGTCTAAATACAAATATTGAATAAAACTTCTAGTTCTTCAACATAAAACATCACCCACCATTCAAATGGTCTGTGTAAAGCTTCAGCCCCTTCTCTTATCCGAAGCTGACATCTCATTCAAAGGAAGTGTTGCAGCCTCTACTACCACCACCCCTGGGGAGGGTATTTGTTACTTTTCATTCCCCACATTATCTTTATTCTACTTTTAGGGAACAACCATTTGGGGGTCCACACAACTCAAAATCTTGATCCATGTGGTTTAAGTGATTCCCCCGAACTTCAGGGATAAAGCAAATGCTCAGATCTGACACAGCACATGAACATGCTGTTGGCTGCAGGGATTGAAGTTCAGACCCAACGGAATATAATGAGATTTCACTGGGACGTCCGGGATCAAGGTTTGACAGTGAAAGACTGCAGAGTCTGGAGCTGCCTCAGCCATCTCGCAAACATAAGGCAAGCGTCTGCTGGCTCTGAATTACTTTTCTGGTAAGACAGCTGGAGTTTGGTGAGCTGTGCTACTTTGCCGATTCTGCCTGGTTTCCAGAGATCTGTATATGATCTGTATCTACAGTCTGGGGTCATGGAACATGGTTATTTTTCACTCTGGGTAAAATTGATCAGTTCTGATAAAGAGGATGGTATTGATCACGAAGATGCCCACTTTGCCTGTGTTGTCAACATTTCCTAACCAGCTGATCCAAAAAATCCTGGGTAATTTACTTATTCCAAAAGTGAAAAAGATGATACTTACTACAAACCCTTACAGCTAAAATAAAGAGGTATTTTGGCTTTGTCAATGTATGCGGCAAGCCATGGAGTAAGAGCTGAAACCAGCCTCCCTTTTTGCGCTGAATGGCGAAGATATCCATGGAATCACGTAAGTGTGCTGAACTATATGAAAATCATTAAGCCACCTTCCATTTCTTATAAAACCTCCACAAATTATAAGAGATGTCAGAGGAAACATGAAAATACTCTTGGATAAATTTAACCTTAAAATGAAATTCAGATTTACACAAAACAGATTTGTACAAAGAGTCAAATATGTTTAGGAAAATTGTTCTGTGAAAATTACCAACTCTGGATGTAATAAAATTTGTATTTTGAAATAATTTCTCATAAATGCATCCCATAAAATACTCAACAGTTTTAATAACAGCTGCATCAGCAAAAGGAGTTTTCTGAAAATCAAAAAATTATCAAAAATGGTTTGTGATCTTGACTATCCATTTGTACATAACAGTAGGGCACTAAAAGGCTGACTGCAGATTCTGGACTACTTCAGCAGGACTTGCTTATCACTGGACTTCACTGTGGCGTGAAGCAGTGAGCCTGCCCTTTCCGCAACAGATTCCTCAATGTCTGAACGTGAAAGGTTTTTTCTCTGGTTTCTCCAGAGAAGACTACTCCAAACACCAGCCCAGGAAATATTTGCTTGGCTGATGGCATTCTGGGAACAGAATAGGAGAAAGGACCACTATCTAAAATTTCAAGAAACCCATTTGGAGATCCTACTTCATCTCTGAGCCCAGTGCCCTGAGGTTGCGAGCTTCTCTAACTTAATTTTGCTGGAGAATAAATCCTTATTCTGAATCTACAGGGTGAGCCAAGAAAAATGGAGCTCTGTAACCAGACCATTACCAGTCCTTGGTTTTAGCCCTGGGCCTGGTCCCTGCTTTAGAAGATATGTGAAATTTTTGAGTTCCAGGTTTCTTGGGGGTAGAGTGAGTTGACTCACTTTTTCTTGTAGGACCCCTGTATAGACTTGCACTGGGAATCATTCCTTCTGAGAAGTGAGTGGCCACATTTTAAGCAACTTGACAGCTTCCAAAAAATTGTTGAAATTGCTTACTTGACGCTACCTCCTTTGTCTTTGTTTTTTATCCTTGTGGGTGGATGCATTGAAGGCAGTGCTTCCCAATTCTTTCAAAGTCATGAGAGACAAAAAAGCATTTGTAGGGAACACTGGGGTAAATGGATGACACTATTCAAGGCCAAGGACTACTTATCTGACCTTACCTGCTATCCCAGCCCCCACAGCACCACCAAAAGAACTGAATAGCTTAACATCTCTGCCTACCTGGAACTCAATTATAACACAACATTCGGGAGGCTCTGTTCTATTAATTTTGAGGGATTTAAGGATACAGAGAGGAGATAAATAGGTGTAGTCAGTCTACCATGTTTAACCAGCTACCCTTCACTGCTCACTCCTCTATACTGTCCAGTTTAGATGATTTTCCCCCCTGTGGACAATCCATTTCATGGTCCTGGAGTATCCATCCAGCTCTTCTAAATGGCATCTCCCTGAGAGGTCTCACCAGGAACATGATTGGGACCAACTACTTCTCTGTGATGCTCTCCCCGGAAGCAGTGAAGGTGATTCCTCTTACCCCAATCCCCCACCCCAAGGCAAATATCTCGCTCCGTAATGAGTCATTTAAGTCACAGGAGCCTGAACCCCAGACAGATTCAGCCTGGTCCCTGGTGATTGGAGGAAGAGGGGCATCTACCCAGCCAATGAAGTAGAACCACAGTGAAGGCAAAGGGAATAAACTAAAAGAAGCTAACATGCAGCTTGGCAGGACAGCATAACATAGTACTCCAGACCACGGGATTTGGAATTAATAATACCTGAGTTGGAATCCTGCCTCCACTATTTACCAGATATGTGTTCCTAGGAAAATTATTCTATCTCTTTAAGTTTCAACATCCCCATCTAAAAAACAGGATTTCAGAGACATTCCCATTGCTATGAATGTTTAAGTGAGAAAGAACCACAAAGTGCCTCACAAAGAGGTGGTGAGGGAACGGGTGGAAAGAAAATATTGATGAAGGGTGAAAATGAAAAAGATGATGTCCACAAAGAAAGAAAGAGAGGGTCTTATAAAAAAAATTAAACACAGAATAAAAGAGACTGAGGCTACAGTTTACAAACACGTAGATACTTAGGCCCCCACCATCCACATAGAAACAGAACATAGATATAGATATATAACATATAAAACAGGATACATAAAAACCGTGCATTTATCAGTAGTATCTGAGGTCCTTCTATGTGACAGTGGTTCCAGGAAGTAGCTTCCTGATGTTGTTTTCCAGGAGAGGAACAAAGTTACTATCTCCAGTTAGTTATTAATTAGTCCTTCCAATGAGCTTGGGCATCCTCGTCTATTGTTAGTCCTCTTTTTACAAGACCAGAAATAAAAATACAACCAATCTCCCATCTTATCGTATGTGTCACTCAGATGCCAGCCCATGCATTATTTTATGTAGCAAAAAGAGCACAAGGTGAGTATTTAAGACTAATGCATTGAGGGATGTATATGTGTGCAGGACCCAACCAGCACACACTTGCAACTATGTACCCTGAAGTGTAAAAGGGAAAAAAATGACTACAGTGGGAGAAAACATAAAAGGTCAATGCCTTCTTGACAACTATGGGGGATATATGTTATTAAACCTACAGATGTTGCTTCTCAAGAAAATATAAACTCAAGTTCCTACCAGGGTCTCCTTACTGTTGGGGTTTAGCCTGTACTCGGACAAAGGAATCATAATTCAATTATCCAATGATTTATTACAAAACACTTTGCCCACACTGGCTATTTCGATGTGTAAACATCAGAATATTACACTCCCTCTATCCCAGGCTTCGCATTTCAGATTTCATTAGCCAATAAAGCCAGGTTTATTTATAATAAAGTTAAGCCCTTCAAACCACTGACCATGGAAACCAGATTTTGAAATAATTCAGATTTGTGTTTCTGTTCTTTCTAATTAAGGGTAATATCGGGAAGCACAGACAGTGGGTAGCATTGTTCGAGCACCATGGATTTAAGCAAGAAAATCTGATTATCAGCTCATGTCAGAAGCCAAGCGATAATGCAGCTCAGCATTTGTTTGGGTTTTTTCTTTGGCCAAAGATAATTACCGTTCGTGAGGCCTTACGTAAGTGTATCTAATATCTAAGGCCCTAAATTTATGAATAGCAAAGGCACACAATAGGCAAAGAAGAATTACTGTATTTATTATTTCTATGGCTTGTTCCACCATGATAATTTCATTATCTAGCAGTCAAACCTCTAAAATCAAAGTATAATTTCTTAAAGGACAAGAAGTTAAATATGCTGGCAAGGTTTTCTGCCCAGTTTCCTCTGGTGAGAGTTATTTCTAACAAATTAGAAGTAGAACAGCCAGAACTTTAATAGGAAATTCACCAAAGGGGACTCAAGAGTTACGTATTGAGGTGACTGCACAAACAGATGCTACGCTTCTGCAGTGAGGTTTTTTTTTTCCATAAAATGTAATTTCTTCAACCTGCGCTGTTGATAATAAATGCAGTGCTTCCTACCAAACAACACCAAAAAAATGTGAAAGTTGAAAAACACTTCTTAGCAAAGATGATTGTGTCAGAGTGAGTGTTGCTGAAATACAAACAACCTAAGTATGTATTACACAGAATAAATTCTGGGAACCCAGAGGGGAAAAATTTCTGGAACTAGGGGTTAGAAGTTTGATAAAATCAGATCTAATTATGAGGACAAAAAAAAATCAAGTTGTGCAATTGCCAAAATAAGAATGCTGAGGTCCTCCAAAATATAAAGAAACAACTGCTTTTGGAAGAGAAAGCATGATTGTCCTTAACTGTAGATTTTCTTTTTAGGAATGAGTTGTATTATTTATGTACACTCATTATATTCCAGCAGTAACTAACACTTAATTATTGAGTACCTACTACAGTGCTCTAAACACTTTAGGCATGTTAACTCCTCAAAGTCTTATAGTAAAGTAACCCTATAAAATTGTTACTTTATTCTCCCCATTTTACAGAAGAGAAAACTGAGTCACAGAGAGGTTAAGTGACTTGCCCAGTTGGCTCCCACTACTCTAAACTTGATACAAAACTTTATGTTAATTGTATCCATCCTCATAATTAGATTTGGTTTATATATCAAAACTTCTAACCTCTAGTTCAAGAAATTGCTCCCCTTTGGGTTCCCAGAATTTATTCTGTGTGATAGGTACTCAGGCTGCTTGTGTTCCAGCAATGCTCACTCTGACACCAATATGAAGCAAAAGGAAACAACCTATCAGGACCCATCAGAGTAATCCCACTTCTGGCTCAGGCACCAACAACCAGCTCTCCAACCTTGGGCAAATCACTCAACTCAGCTGAATGGAAGTCAGATGGGAGCAACGTTCCCTTCCCTGTCTGTTTCCCACAGTCCCTGGGACAGGATGGAAAGTCTGAACGAGTTTTGAGAAGTGTGAGGAGTATACTGACAGGACAACGCCACTGGCGAAGGCTGGTAGCAGAGGGTGAAAGGTCCAAGGCAAAGCTCTTACAGTCTGAGTCTAGCACATTACCGTCATGACCCTGCTCTGCTCCTGAGCTCTTACTTGCAGCCGAGGTTTATTTGAGGGAGGGAAAAGAAAGGGGGAAGATCATCAGGGTAACAACAATGATGACAATGACAATAGGCACAACAGTAATAAACAAGTGCTCATCAGGACAAAGCAGCAGTGTGTGCTGTGGGTCACAGCACAGAGCCTGGAGCCAGACTGCCCAAGTTGGATCCTGGACCTACCACTTGGGCAAGTTGCTTTGGTTTCCTCACCTGCAAAATGAGAGTAATAGTAGTTCCTATCCGGTAAGATATTTATGAAAATTCAGTGACAATATTCATAGAGAAGAACAGCCAGGTAGAAAGTTACCACTATATATATATACATATATACACACACACACACACACACACACATATATATATATACACATACATACACACACACACACACACATATATATACACACACATACATACATACACACACACACACACACACATTGGAGAGTTGTGAGTAGTAATATAACTAATCGTTCAGTGACAGGTGCCATCAACTCATTGGTTATTGTACTAGGAAGTTAAAAGATGGAATCACAGTTTTTCTTTGTTTCTACTTTTTGTCCTGATGAAAATGAGTGTTTTTTACCTTGGCCAGAGAACAAGAGCAGGAACCTGTGTTTCACAATTTCTGTGGCTGATTTCATCTAGTTCTGTTTTTACACTTTAGTAACAAAAGGTTCTCTTGAGAACTGGAGAATCACCTTAGACTAGTGAGACTATAAAATTCCTAGAGGAAAACATAGGCAGCACACTCTCGGACATACATTACAGCAAGATATTTTTTGAACCAGCTCCTGGAGTAATGGAAATAAAAGAAAAAATAAACAAATGGATCTAATTAAACTCAAAAGCTTCAGCACAGCTAAGGATACCATCAACAAAACAAAAAGGCAACCTACAGAATGGGAGAAAATACTTGCAAATGATACAAATGACAAGGGACTAGTTTCCAAAATATACAAACAGCTTATACACCTTAATATCAAAAACAAGCAACGCAATACAAAAATGGGCAGAAGACCTAAACAAGCAATTCTCCAGTGAAGACATACAAATAGCCAACAGGTATGTGAAAAAATGCTTGCCATTGCTAATTGTCAGACAAATGCAGATCAAAACTACAATGAGACATCACCTCACACCAGCCAGAATGGGCATCACTAAAAAATGATAGATGCTAGAGGGAGACTGTTCGTGGGAGTGTAAATTGGTGCAGCCACTATGGAAGACAGTATGGAGGTTCCTTAAAAAACTAAAAATAGACTTAACAAATGATCCAGCAATCCCACTTCTGGGCATATATCCAGGGAAAAATAAAATTCAAAAGACACATGCATCTCAATGTTCATAGCAGTACTGTTTACAATAGCCAAGACATGGAAACAACCCAAATGTCCATAAACAGAAGATTGGATAAAGAAGATGTGGTATATTTATACAGTGGAATACTACTCAGCCAGAAAAAGGAATAAAATAATGCCATTTGCAGCAACATGGATGGACAAGGAGATCGTCATTCTAAGTAAGTGGGTCAGAAAGAGAAAAGAAAAATGCCGTATGATATCACTTATATGTGGAATCTAAAAAAATAGGACACAAATGAACTACTTATTATTTATAACTTAGATGATCGATTTCTTGAATATATATAAGCACATTTGACTGTCCTTTATGATAATATTACTGCATTCTGTTGATTCTTATTTTGTGGTTGGCTTTATTCCTTTGATAACTATGTAAATTTAAAAAGCTAAAGCTCTAATCTGTTCTTAAAAACAATGATCAGTACATATATGTAAACTAAAAATAAAAAAAACCCAATGGCATTTTTTGAAAAAAATAGGAAAATTTATTCTAAAATTTTATGGATTCTCAAGGAAACTTAAGTAGCCAAAATAACCTTGAAAAAGAACAAATTTGAAAGGTTCACACTTTAGAACATATTACATAGCTTAATAATCAAAACAGTATGGTACTGGCATAAAGACAGACATATAGACTAATGGAATAGAATAGAGATCCCAGAAATAAGCCCTTATATATATTGTCAAATGATCTTCAAAAAGAGTTCCAAGAGCACTCAATGGGGAAAGGAAGTCTCTAAAATCTGGTGTTGGAAAACTGGATATTCACAAGCAAAAGAATGAAGTTGGATCCTTATCCTGTACCATAGACCAAAATTCACTTTAAATGAACTAAAGAACTAACTATATGACTGAAAACTGTAAAACTTCTAGAAGAAAGCATACAAAGAAATCTTCCTGATATTAGATTTGGCAATGATTTCTTTGATATGACACCAAAGCATAGGCAAAAATAGACAAGACTACATCAAACTTTAAACTTCTGTGCATCAAAGAAGTAATCAACAGGGTAAAAGGCAACCTATGGAATGGAGAAAATATTAACAAATCATATATTTGATAAGAGGTTAATATCCAGAATTTATAAAGAACTCTTACAATTCAACAACATTAAAACAAATGACCCAATTTTTTATTTGGGCAAATAGACATTGCCCAATTGAATAGATATTTCTCCAAAGATGATATACAAATGTCCAACAAGCATGTGAAGAGATGCTAAACATTACTGATAATTAGAGAAATACAAATCAAAGCCTCAAGAGATATTACATCAAACCCATTAGAATGGCTACTAATTAAAAAAACTGAAAATAACAGGTGTTGGTAAAGATAGAGAGACATTAGAACCTTTGTGAACTATTCGTAGGATTATAAAATGCAATTGCTATTGAAACAGTATGGAAGTTCTTCATAAAACTAAAAATAGAACTACCATAATATCTAGCATTTCTACTTCTGGATATAAATCCAAAAGAACTGAAATCAAGGTCTTAAAGAGAGATTTGCACATCCATGTTCATAGCAGCACTATTCATAATAACCAAGAGGAGGAAACAACCTGAATGTCCATCAACAAACGAATGGATAAACAAAATGTGTTATATATATAATGGAATATTATTTGGCCTTAAAGAAAGGAGGAAATCCTGTCAATGCTACAATGTAGGTGAACATTGAAGACATTATGCTAAGTGAAATAAACCAATCACAAGAAGACAAATACTGTATGATTCCACATACAGGAGGTATATAAAGTAGTCAAATTCATAGAAACAGAAAGTAGAATGATGGTTACCAGGAGCAGGGGAAAGGAGGAAATGGGGAGTCATTGTTTAATGGGTATGGAGTTTCACTTTTGCAAGATGAATACATCTGGAGATCTGGTACACAACAATGTGAATATACTGAACATTACTGAACTGTACACTCGAAGTGGTTGCGATGGTAAATACTATGTTATGTATTTTTACCACAACTAATAATGTAAAAATGAGTAAGTAGAAGCTACTACAGAGGGGGTGGAAACTGAGCTGCCCAAAATGAATCCTGTGGCTATACACAGGTGCACGGGATGGAAAAGTAGATGAGACGGTGACTCAGGCGCAATGATAGAAGAAGCAAAGGACCAAGATCAGTGCCCAGGCACAGTGGTCCCTTCAGGCTCCTTCTGGGGGCATCACGGATGCACCAGTGAGGCAGTGCCAGGGCTTCAGGGCAAATTCACCTGTACTTAATTTTATGTTTGCTCAGATTACTTTTTTTGATTGGCTCCCCAGGCATTAACTTTCCTCTGGCTTGTTTTTCTTGTTTTTACCATTTTGCTTTAAACTCTAGAAGGTTTTCCACAATTTTTTCTTGCAATCTTCTATTGAATCATTTACTGTCAGCAAGCATATTATTTGATTGCATGAACTCTTTCTGTTTGCTGTTGCTTATTTTTCGAGGACACAGATGTTTCTTATTTTATGAATTTTCTCAGATTTTCCCAGAGGACACTAATTAGATTATATTTTTAGAGTGAAAATTTCCTTCTGGTTTCTGCATTATGCCTGTTTCCCGTGATGCCAGTATTTCTGTTGGATCTTCTGGCCCTTCTGTGCAGCTGGCTTTCCTTAAAATCTGGCAGCCCTTGATACGGTAGATAAAAGCCTAGTTGGTGGATTTCCTCTCTTCTTGTGTAGATGTTCTTTTCTCATTAGAGAATTCTGGGCTTTGCTAAATAAAGGCTGTGAGCTTGGTAGACATGGTCAAGGCATACGAACTGACTGGCTTCGCTGTAGGTGTGGGCGGGCTGCCTGGGGCTCTTCCAAATGTGAGAGTCAGAGGGCTTCGTCCTAAGGCACCAATTCCCATACTAAGAGTTCTAGTCCTCCCCTAAAAACTCTCACCTTCCTTTTTTTGTTTCTGTCCTGGAGAGAAAAACCTTGCCTGCAAATCACTCTTGTCTTCTCATCAATACCTGGAAGTGGAGTGACCTACCTGATTGGAGAGTTGGGAGAAAAAGAACTGAGCATTCCCGGCTTAGTGAACTCTCCTCCTTTGTCTTTGGGTCCACAGAAAGCAGGTTGCTCCCCTATGCCTTTAGTCATGAGGTAAACTTATCGGGAAGCGTCTGTGGTCCCCCACCCCACGAGGGAAGTCTGCCACTTCCAGGAGCTGCCATGGTGGCTCAGGGAAGCCTGCTTTCTGGGGGGTCAGAAGAGAAAGTCCATTTTTGCCACACGCTTAAATCATATTCCTAACCTGCTGCTTTAATTTCTTTCAGCAAACGCACCCATCTCTCTCACAAGTTCAAAGTTCATGCAAAGAAAAAAGGAGTGTTATGTATTGATTCTTTAGATCCCCAATAGGTACATTTGTCTGGGTTTTGTGTGTTTGCTTGTTTTTGCTTCTTTGTTTTATTTTGTTTGGTTTTATTTTTGTTTTTGTTTTCTGGTCCATTCAGTAACAAACCCATTCTTCATTTTGTGGGAAGGAAATTCTCCACTGGGAGGCAGCACCCAGTAGAAATTGGAGGGGAAAAAATCCTGTGGTGTCTCCCCAACCACTGGCATCAGGCAGATGTCTGAACGTCTGTTTCTTAACCTATAGGGATACT